ACTGGTCCATTATCTGTCTCTAAATGTTAATATTAACATCACACCTGCAAAGCACAATATTTCAAATCTTTGTAGTTAAATCTCTCTGTAAAGAATACTCCGTTCTTTTGATTGAGGCTATTTTGGATTTCCTGCATTTGTTCACCTCCAGTTAGCAGCAGAAACTTTTCTGCAACAGTTGCACTGAGTATCGGTAGTTGCACCAACGTGTAATGTTTCAACAGAATCAATAAATGCATTACCTATTTCTGATGATCAGATTCAACATTCTGATGTTGTTCAGATCATTTTCAAGATATATTTCCCTTTCACTAAACTTTGTGACTCATTAACCTCTCCCTTTTTGATTCAGCATATTTCCCTGTAAAAGCCCTTTATAAATGCAAGTTACTATTGAAATTAACTGCAACTAGCAGTGTGCCACAGGGCCCAGTGCTGGGGCCACAGTTATTTACAATACATATTCACTACGTAGACTAGGAAAACTTATGTACTATAGCCAAGTTTACATATGACACAAAAATAGATGGAAAGGCAAATCATGTGGGTGAGAGTGGCTGCAGGGGAATATAGGCAGGTTATGTGAGAGGGTACAAACTTGTCCTAAGGAATATAAATGTGGGGAAATGTGAGGTTATGCACTTTTGCAGGAAGAATAGGAGATAAATACAATTTAAACGAACTAATACTGTTAAAAAAAAACTACAGAACAGAGGGATTTTGGGAATCTTTGTCCATGAATCAGAAGACGCCGGTATCCAAATTCAGCAGGTAATAGGCAAATGGAATGTTGGCCTTTATTTCAAACCTATACAAGATACTGTTCAGAACACAGCTAGAATACTACGAACAGTTTTGGGCCTTTTATCTAGGAAAGATAGATTGACATTGGATACAGTGCAGAGAATGTTCATTCAGCTGATATCGGACTGTCTTATCAGGACAGGTTGAGTTGATTAGGCCTATATTTTTTTTTGTTCAATCACTGGATGAGGACATTGCTGAAAGTCTGGTGTCACACGTAGGCCAGACCAGGTAAGGATGGCAGTTTCCTTCCCTAAAAGACATGAGTGAGCCAGACAGGTTTTTCCAACAATCGACAATGGATTCACATCATTAGACCCTTAATTCCAGATTTTTATTGAATTCAAATTCCACCATCTGCCACGGCGGGATTTGAACCGAGATCCCCAGAACATTACCTGGGTCTCCAGTGATAACACCATAGAGGTGTTAGAGGTGATCTTATTGAAAAGATTCTTAGGAGATTTGACAGGGTTGATGCAGAAAGGTTGTTTCCCTTTGTGAGACAGGACCAAAGAGCATGCTTTCATAATAAGGGCAAAGCTGCTGGAAAAGCCCAGCAGGTCTGGCAGCATCTGTGGAGGAAATGACAGAATTAACGTTTTGGGTCCGTTATATCAGAACGGAGCCTGAGGAAGGGTCACCAGACCTGAAATGTCAACTCTGTCTTTTCCTTCACAGATGCTGCCAGACCTGCTGGGCTTTTCCAGCAGCTTTG